ACATTCTCGTTTATTTATTTTTCCGATTTCACAGCTATTCTTTAATGTTTCCTGTTATTCTCTAATTTTGAAAGGGTTTATTCAGTAGTTGTGATGCTAGCAGTAGTGATGTTAGTGAGATAGTAGTAGTGATGAATCAGTAAAGGACAAATAGTTGGTAAGGGAGTGTTTATTTGAAAATTGTTATCTGTATATAGCCAAATTATGTATACCTCATTTCCAACTCACCATTTGCACAGATCTTCATGTTGTGATATTTCTCAACATTGTATTGTGTTTCTTTGTGTTCCTTTGGCTTCTCTCGTGTATCTCCACAACACTGTATTGTTTGCCTTCTCTGAAATCAAATGTATCTCCCTGCTGTTTGCCGTTATTATGTCGATGAACGTCTCTTTATCTCACCTTGTCTTGTGTGTCGGTGGCACATGGTCCGGGTTTCGATCCCCTGCAGACGCACGCTTGATATCAATGGTCAGCCTGAGAAATTTGGGCTACCGATATCATATATATATATATATATATATATATATATATATATATATATTCGAAACTATCTGCCTCATACTAAAAATTTTAACAGGGCAGATTGATCGAAGCTACCGTCCTTCTGTGTATTAAAGAAGGAAGTTAGTATGTGAAAAAAACTGGTGATTTACACTGAGAAATCACGATCACTTTCACAGACTAATCTATCACTATTATTATTACTACTACTACTATTAATAATCATATTTAACGGCGTAATACAGATGTTTGTTTAAATTTCAAAATGTTTGCACACTTCAGTTTTCCAATATCTAATCTAATGTATGATAATTTCATAGAAAAGATAAATCTATTTACTCTAGTCAACCTCATAGGAGACATTCAAGAAACCGTTCATTGTGTACCATCTCTATATTCACACAAAAACTTGTGAATTGGCTTATCTTTAAAATTAGTTGTTAACTTTCGCTTTAATCAATATTAGCTGATGTTTATTTCACGGTATTCTAAGGCAAGTCGATGCCAGCTACGTTTATACATTAAGTAACGAGAAGAATATTTTTGAATTTAGTATTATAAATAGTTTTCTTTCCCTTCACGTTCCCCAGTGGAACACAGGGCTCCAAGTTAGCGACTTGAAGTTCCTGTAGCAGTGTTTATTTCACAGGATGGGGTTGCTAGCCTCATGTCCAACCTTTCCTCTTTACCAGCATTATTCCTGGCTCGGCGAGGTAAAGGAGTGCGTCGGCCGGGGATCGAACCCCTGACCATGTGCATGGTCAGCGAGCATCCTAACCACTGTGCCACCGACGCAGGTTTACATAGCAACTCCAAAAAAGAAGTAGTTGGTCAATAAATAAGTAGATGTAGAAATGATGGGGAGGTAGAATTTCACCCAGGATGTGTATTTCTTCCTATTTGAGAATCCTAAGGTGAACCTAACTGGGGAATCCCAAATAAAACGAAATGCACATCCTGGATTCCACTGTTGGTAACCATCAGCCGGAAAAGACATTATTCTAGTTTTCAGTCATTGTCGAAGCATCTATATTTACAGCCGACATGTCAGCAAAGGTTGAGTATCACGGCCCAACATAATCAATCAACGGAAGGTGAAAATTAACTTAACTAAATTGTTTAATATTATAGGGCTACTACTGTTAAAGCATCACAAAAATTGAACAAAAATTGAAGGAAAATGAAAAATAATCACAGTAGATTTATGCAACTCATTACATCTGTATCGTTTATTGCATGTTTTGGGCTGAAAATGACGCTGTCTTTGAGAAACAAAAACTGAATTTAAATTTTCGCCTAATGTTTGTTAACTTCGTGTTGAAATCGAAGCTATCTTCTAGGAAGAACATAGTACCACTACTAATATTGCTGTGGTGAGTGCTACTGATGAAAATTATCAGTAGTATTAAATTTTTTCATTTTTTTAATGATTATAGCTTGATTCTACACAGTACTTTTGGTACATGTATGGAATTTTCAGCATATGATATCGGTAGCCCAAATTTAGCAGGCTGACCATTGATATCAAGTGTGCGTCGGCAGGGGATCGAACCCCGGACCATGTGCCACTGACACACAAGACAAGGTGAGATTAATAGACGTTCATTGACATAAAAACATCAAATATAGCAGGGAGATACATTTGATTTTAGAGAAGGCAAATAATACAGTGTTGTGGAGATTCATGGGAGATGTGAAAGGAACACAAAGAAACACAATACAAAGTCCAGAAATATCACAACATGAAGATCTGTGCAAATGGTGCGTTGAAGATAAGGTATACATAATTTGGCTCTATACAGATACAAATTTTCTGATAAACACTCCCTTACCAATTCTTTGTCCTTTACCGATTCATTACTACTACTATCTCACTAACATCACTACTGCTAGCATCACAACTACTGAATAAACCCCTTTAAAATTAGAGAATAACAGGAAATCGGAAAAATAAATAAACGAGAATGTGTAGAGAGTATATTATGTCATAAACTCATACATGAAAAAACAAGAAAATGGTTATTTTGGGTGAAACATCAATCATGTGCAATGAAACCAAGAAAGATCAGATGGAAAGTATATGATGAGCACACTTGATATGTATTTATTTTCTTAGATAAGAGACCTACTTAACTCACCGGGCTACACAAATTTTCTGTCCATTAAAATGCATCGTTTTACTGCATTTCAAATTGTTCTAATGTTCTGTGCTTGCTCAGAATTTCAAACAACTTTCTACCTACAGCAAAGCAAGCTTTCATTTCTCTCAAGTTTGTGTGGAGGTCAACAGCACTCAGAATGAAAAATAATATCCGGATTTTCAACTCCAATGTGAAGACACTGCTACTATACGGATCAGAGACTTGGGGCCGCATCTCGAAGGGCACTTCGAACAAACTACAGACCTTCATCAACATCTGTCTTCGCTCAACACTACTCAAGATCAGATGGCCGGCCAGAAAAGATCAGCAACAGGGATCTCTGGGACCAAACCAACCAGGAACCGATTGTAAAACAAATATGTAGGAAGAAAACCATCAAGTGACATCACACGCCAAGCCATCGCTCGAGTGAAACCCAAATGGGAAGCGGTGAGTTGGTCGTCAGTGCGATGGTGACATGGAGGGGATCATGTGAATAGTAGATGAAAGCATGTGGAGAGAAGTGGAGCCAGATGAAAACGTTGGCAGGGAACCAAACGTAATGGAGACGTGTGGTTGAAGCTCTATGTTCCTCTAGGAATTGAAGGAAACAATAATATAGTATAATTCTACCTACCACTATGTTTTTTTCGAATTAAATCAAGGAAGAACATTGCGGAGTAGCAGTGAAACATACTTTGGATGGAACAATATTGCTTCAGATGATATATTACCAATTTTAATATTATTTGAAGATTCTACATAAGGGATAAAAACCTTGTAATGGAACTAAGTGGAAATTCTGAATTATGTAGGAACACATTCTTCAGAATAAAGCTTATATATATACACACATATTCTGAATTGTACAAATATCCCTAATACAAGAGTAATCACAAAGAAGCAGTTCACTGATGTCCTTTTTCATTCCTTCGTATTTGGAGTGGAACACAGGGCTTCAAGCCTTAAGCTTTAAAGTCTCAGTAGCCGTGATGTTGTTTTACACAGTGGGGTTGGTATTTTTACCGCCAATCTTTCCTCTTCCACAGGACTAATATCAGCTAGTAAACTAGCCGAGGTTGAGGAGTGAATCCACGGGGAATTGGAACTGGGACCTTTCGCATGGTTGGCTGTTGAACCATTGGTGCTCAAGTCTTACACACTACTAAAGAGCTAACTATTAATCTGATATTTACAAAGAACAGTTATGAAAGAAAGCTATCAGGAAGTCTGTAATTCAACGTCACTATGGCAACTATTAAGAAGAAAAATCATCAGGACAGACCAAAAGTCAAAATATCTAATTACAGCAGGAATTTCCATACGACTCATCAACATGTTATTACAATATGGCGTGTACTTTAGCGTGAGCAAACCAAAATTAGATGGAATAAGATATGGTTACAAACCTTTTCCCATGTGTGTATTTATATTGCACAACTTAGCTTCCAAGTATGATGCGTTATGTCATAACTTATAGACACTGCATTATTAGTATTATCCCCTTGGGTCCCCAGTGAAGCATAGGGTCTTAGCAGCCCACTTCCATTTCATTTTGTTCTCTGACATTAAAATAACTTCCCTGGAATTAATCTTTAAAATGTATTCAGGTTAAAGAATCCTCGTTTCTTCTTAGTAATGACACTAAGTATAATTTAATCTAGGTTCACAAGGCGCTAATCATTCGAAACTTCAGTGATTGAAGGTAACGATGTCAAAAAGCTTAACCTTATTTAATTGCATGGAGGATTTCATCATGAGCTGACATCACTTAGAAAATCACCGGAAAACCTGGGAGTACTGGACAGCTGCTTCGTTCTAGTTTTGGACTCTTCATCAGTACGCACTCACCGGGGTTCGAGCCCAGGACGTTCTGGTTACAAGGCTAGAGAGCTCATAGACAATTGAGCCACTGGGACCCGATCCGCCTTGTAACCAGAAGGTCCTGGGTTCGAACTCCGTTGGTGGGTGCGCACTGATGAAGAGTTCCAAACTAGGACGAAACAGCCGTCCAGTACTCTCAGGTTTTCCAGTGGTTCTCTAACTGATGTCAGCTCATGATGAAATCCTCCATGCAATCAAACAAAATCCCTACAAAACCAATACTTGAAAATCAATATTATTTGTCCATTCCTGGCGAATGGACTCCTCAACCTTCCTTAACCAGTAGTAAACCCAGTAAAGAGGGAAGATTAGGCATAAGACCAGCAACTTCACCTCCTTAAAACGACACCAATGGTGAGAAACTTCAATGCTCAAGGCTTGAGCGCAATGAAAACAGATACAACCATCAATAAACTGTTTTGAAAAATATCACATTAATTTAAGTATTGAATAAGCGTGTCAACAACTTACCCCAGATATTATTACCACATTTATTTTCGTCTGTATTAATTTCTCCACTTGACATTTTCTCCGATGAATAAACATTTGATTTTGTCTTATATAAAGAATCAGGTCGTTTACATTTATCACCTTGAATTTCAATTTCAACTGATGAATTACAAACAATAGAACTAACAGCAGAAGGTGATGTTGGTGAAGGCTGTGAACTTGAACTAAACTGTTGGACTGTGGATTTTACCAGTGACGGTAAGTGTAGCTTACTTTGTTTTCGTGATAGGGTGACGTTAACACAATCGTTATTACTATTACAGTTACTATTGTTACTGTTAGTGTTATTACTATTATTACTGGGAATATTGTTATTCTTGCTACGTATATTATCAAAAAATCGATTGAAAACAACCTTCAAACTAGTCACAATTGATGAAGTTCCACTTCCACTGTGATTTCCATGGCAGACTGTTGAATCTGTTTGAGTGTTATTCATTGCTGGACAACTGTTTTCCTCTTGATGTGATTTATTCTGAATGTTTGTTGTAAAGAATCCACCAGGTGGGTTGACTGTGGGTGAGACTGTCTTCGAAGTAGGTGATAAATAAAACGGAGATTTCAACGTGTCCATATTTTTGCCTGTCATCAGCTTACAACTACTACTGGAGTGAAAACACCAAGAAGGTGATGTGGATGGAGTTTGAGCGCATAGTGTTGACATGGAAGAGATTGCTTCAGGGGAAAGCATTACAGAATAATTGGATGGCTTGATATCACCAGAATGAAAATCTGAGTGTATCTGGCTATTATAAAAGTTTTGATCAGTTGGTCGACATGGTGATGTAGTGACTGACTTGGAATTTTTCGATCTCTTCTCACAATCTTTATTACTTTTTTGACAATCATAAGTGAGTTTCCCCCTTTTCTCATTTTTCCAAGATCTAGAACGATGAACTGGTTTTTTCACTTTGTTATCCGTAGTTGTGGTTACTTCAGACATGATTTAATTGTTGTTGGCTTGTTTTCACAGGTTGAAAGATTGATTTATCTAAGATGAAAGCAGTGTCAAAAAAGGGAAATCATGCAAAAATATGTCAGGGGAATTTGGTGTTTTTACTAGAAGATAGACTGAGTAATACCTCTGTAAGTCAAGTTTATTTTCCCTATTTGTTCTATTTGACGGAACATTTCGGTCTCTGCAGACGTATAGTCTACTAGTACAGGCGCCTCGATCACGTCTGAGAACTGACATAAAGATAACTTTAAAGAAATGACAACTGGTAATTGTTGGACAAAAGATGGCTCTCGCAGCCTAAGTTGTCGTCTATTGGATAACGCCTTGGCGTTTCGAAGTCGTGTGATTATAATTGATATGATTATGAACAATAAATTTTGTTCGAAGCATTATTATATTATATTATTATGCCCTTTAATTCCTAAAGGAACATAGGGCTTCAGCCGCACGTCTCCATTGAGTTCGGTTCTCTGCTAAAGTTTTCACCTGGCTCCGCGTCTGCCCACATCCTTTCATCTCCTCTTCACATGACCTCCTCCATGTCATCCATGCAGTAATGACCAACTCGCCGCTTCCCTTTCGGGTTCCACTAGAGCGATGGCTTGGCGTGTGATGTCACTTGGTGGTTTGTTTTCTCACAGCATGGCCAATCCATCTCCATTTCTTCCTGCATATATGTGTAACAGTCGGTTCCTGGTTGGTTCGCTCATTGTCAGAAATGCCTGTTGCTGATCTTCTATGGCCGGCCATCTGATCTTGAGTAGCACTGAGTGAAGACAGCTATTGATGAAGGTCTGTAGTTTGTTCGAAGTGCCCTCCGTGACGCGGTGCCAAGTCTGTGATCCGTATAGTAAACAGCACTGACTTCACACTAGAGTTGAAAATCCAGATATTATTTTTCATTCTGAGTGCTGCTGACCTCCAGACAGACTTGAAAGAAACGAAAGCTTGTCTTGCTTTCCCGATCATTGCTTCGATATCCTCGTCAGTTCCGCCTGTAGTTGAAATGATGCTTCCCAGGTAGGTAAAGGAGGTAGTTTCTTTCAGGTCACTCCCATTTATTTTGATTGTTGTCTCTTGTTGTTGTTGCTGTTGGTGGTGTTGCCCAGGAATCTTCATCACCCTTGTTTTCTCTATGTTCACCTGAAGTCCTATCTTCTCTGGATGCTTCTTCTGCCCACTTGTTGCTTTTCACTTGCATATGTTCCAGTTTGTGGGAAATCAGACATATATCATCGGCGAAGTCCAGATCCTCCAAGTTTTTTGTGTGAGTCCATTTTATACCTGTCTCCTGGCTGCCCGCTCTTTGTCGCATTATCCAATCAGGAAAATCACTTGCGATAGTAGGCAGCCTTGTCTTACTTGTTCGAAGCATCTTCACATCAAACTAATGTTCTTCCAAAAATTAAGTGTGACTATATGTGCTTAGCCTGAGGTGAAACTTGTAGTCACATTGTGCTATCCTTAATTTCCAGTTTTAAACTACCTTCAACTTAAGAAAAACAAAACAAATCACAATGTAAATAGGAATCTAGGGTAAGTGTGTTTATTGTGAAACAAGTCAATGTTTTCAACTTGATTTTCTCCTTTTCATTTCTGTAAGTGTCGTCACATGTCATACTGTCACAATTCAAACACCTCAATATTCTAGGGCATGTGTGTAAAGTCCAGTGAAAAGTTACTGACCTCTTTTTAAAAGTGAACGAACAAGTTCATTTTGTAATTTGTTAAACTCAAAAGTTTAAAAAATAAATATTATTGTGGAGCGGGTTATATTGGCCGTTGCTCTAGGAACTTGATTTTTCGTGCTTGAGAACATATCCCACTATGGCTAAGTAAAGGTGTAGTTGAAACTATTAACAGCTCGATATTAGACCATCTGGTGAAAACCGGTCACAAAGCCAGCGTAGAAGAATGCTTCTCTATAATATACCGGGTGCCTAACAAACTACCAAAATCGTCGAAGCACCGCATGTTCCAAACAGCAGAGGCTATTGCAATTCGCCTCAAACAACCAGTGCTCTGTGTGCAAAAGAAACAAGTCCAGCCCCTTCTACTGCCCTGGCCCTCAGTAGAGACTATAAACTCATGAATTTGTACTATTACCTTTCCTAATTCTTCTGACATTCAGTTTATTTTATGTTGATGCTGTTCAGCTGTAATTTATCAATATTATTGATTTGATGTTATTTAAACAACATTAATGTCGTTCATAAGACTAATTCATTCATTCATTATAATGTATATATAACTGTAGAGCCTGATGATGAATTTATCGAAAAGAGTACTCTTTGTTCCGTGTCCATTCTTTTGAAAATATTATTTTATCATATAATAAAAGTAATCTAGAATTATCTCATCCGACTGAATGTTATGATCACTATTGTGTACAAATTCTGTCCCATAGATTTCAGTTTCTCTGTAAGCAACCATTCCGATTGAATATGAAGATTTCAAAAGAATTGTAGACGACCACCATCACATGACCTTAAGGATGTGTAGTTCATTGGCTTAAACACTCAGCTTCCAGCCTAATGGGTCTCAGGTTTCAATCCCACCTAACCTAATTCATTTTGAGAAAGTGGCTTGGCGCATCACCTGATGCCGGTCCACTGGGTTCTAACTAACACTTTAATCGATTATTTAACTGGGGTGGGGGGTGGGTGAATGCTATTACAGTTAGTCTTCACTATGTTAGTTCATCTACTATAAATATAATTTTAGTAACAAAACTAGTCACTATGATCAATACACAACACGAATACTGAAATACTTAAATAAACACGATTTGAGTTAAACTTTTTTTCTAGTTTTTTGGTATTCAACAGACACGTATCACTGAAACGTTCTGTTAAATGCATGATACAGCAACAACAACAACAAAAAAATGATCAAATGCAATTAAGATTATTATCAGAATGTTTATTGCTTCCAAACAGATAACAGTATACTTACTATCTATACATTTTGAACAATAAATACATTAAGACACATGACTTTATCAGATTATTCTATGTATTAAATTTTCTTATATCATGAGATAAAAACAAGGTCAAACAAGGTTATGATGAATAATTAAGATGAGCAGTAACAATCAGTGATTTGATTGTTTAACACATTATCACTATCATTATTATTATTATTTTTAATTATTATCTGGCTAGTATAATATTTGTTCAATACGTCATATATATATATATATATATATATGAAATATATATATATATACATATATATTTCATTCCTTTACGTTCGCAGTGGAACATAGGGCTTCAAACTAGAGACTTGAAGTTTCTGTAGCAGTGATGATCATTTTTACAGGATGGGGCTGCTAGCCTCAGGCCCAGCCTTCCCTCTTTACCAGTCTTCCTACTGGCTTAGCGAGGAAAAGGAGTGCTTCAGTGACTGGGGATGGAACTCCGGACCACCTACGTGGTCGGCGAGCACTCTACCGCTGTGCCACCGACACAGTATGTATATATATATACATATAGAATTAGGGGTACTATGAAGTCCCACTAACGTCATCCAGTCTACTAGCTGACAGTAAATCAGGAGAAGAGGAGAGATAGGGCCTGATGAGACCAGCAACGTCACCTCATAAAGAAAAATCAACCCTACTGCTAATAAAACTTCGTAACTTAATCTTGAAATCCGATCTTTCAACCAGAACGTAAGAGAATAAGAAAAAGAAACACTAGGAACTTAGTTTGACGCAATCGGAAACACCTAACAGTGTGTGACTCAAAGAAAGTGCAGGGAAAAACGATCAACAGTTCGAAATAAGGCAACTTTGTCCAAACAGGCAACAAAACCAATAGTGAAGAAACTTTTTTCATCATCTAGCCGATACCAAATTATTATCGAAATTTTCTTAAGGACAACAGGAGCTCTGTGTGCAAAATAAACAAGTCAAGTCATTACTGACACTCTGGCTAGCTCATTCATTTATTATCACTTAGTAGATACTTTTGATCTGCATTCTACGGATGATGCTGTTGATTCCTTGTTAGCTAAAAACCGTCAGTGTTGTTAATTATAGCAATACTTCTTCAATTAATATTGGATATATGTAATTATAAGCCCTAATGAAAAACTCATCGCAAAGAATAGTCTTTTTCTTTCTCTCAACACTTTTTTTATCAAATAAACACCCCTAACTACACAATAAACTTGTTCACTTTAAAAAAGGGCTTTACATACATGCCCTGGAATATTGAGATGCTTGAATGGTGACACTGCAACATGTCACAACACTTACAGAAATAAAAAGGAGAAAATCAAGTTGAAAATATTGACTTGCTTCACAATAAACACGCTTACCCTAGATTCTTATTTATATTGTGATTTGTTTTGTTTTCTCAGTTGAGGTAGTGTAGAGGTAGCCAAAAAATAAAAATAATTTTAGCAGAATGAGAGTACAAGTTTGACTTTAGGCTAAACTCATTCACACTTAGTTTGTGGCATGACATTGGTTTGATGTGAAGAGATGAATGAAGTTGTGTGAAAATGAGCCCAGAGTTGATGGCTGGTTGGCGTTTATGGAAGGAGAGTGAACGGTTATATGAGGGTACATAAACCTGTTTTTACATCTTCTTGGAATATCTTACGTACCATACATTTTCATTTCCTAGATAGTGAGTCACACTTGCGTTTGAGATTGTGATACCATTGCGTCTTCAAACATCTAGAGATTTCTTACTGCCGGATTTCTTGATGTTTTCGCTCTGCTGCATTCCTAGTGTAACATGGAGTTTCAGACTTTGAGTTGTCGTCTTATGGGATAGGGTTTCTACACTCGCACCTGTCCCTTCCCTCTTTTCTGCGCTTAATTATTGGCTAACATTTGAGACTAAGTTTAGGAATTTGTTGGCCGGGGATGGAACATACACCACTGGAGTTGTTGGTGACCATTCTACCATAGAAACATAGACGCACACCGATTGAAGATACATTTAATTGTAATTTATGTGTTTAACAGAACACATCACACTTATATTGGACTGCTTTATGTTAAGTTAATTTATCCACCTCCATGAAACATGAGTCAAAGAGATGGAATTCGTTTGATATTTTAATGTAGTGGCTCTTTATTCATCAGGATCACTTAAGCCTAAGCTCATTGTTGTTTGGTAATAGGGAATATCTAGGCAAAGACTAAATATCGATTGCATCCTAATCATTTTTTAACGTATAATTGCAATTTACACTCTGTCGGTATTTACATAATCAACTAAAGAAGTTTTTAAGATCAAAAAGGATTGAATAAGTGTTTCGTCCTAGAGAGGGAGGGCCTCTTCATAAGCGTCTGCAGAAGGATCCTTCAAGTATGGAGAATTTGAAGTACCCTTGGAAGAGTCTTTATCACTTCTTATCGCATTCAGAAAGTGATGAGTGAAGGAATTTGTAGCCAACGAGTCGAGAGACTTATCAGATCCATAACAGGGAATGATCATGAACCAAGAGATGTTAAGATAACACAATTATGTTCCACTGCACGGTGCCACATCATGGGCTGACCACATTTCTGCTTTTGTTATTAAGTGTCAGTGCTGAAAAACAGTGATGGGTCTATTAGCCTGTGGGATAGCATTCACAGCATAGGTCCAAATCCCTGAAGCCAATGATTCAATATTTGACATCCCTTATTGAAAGGTGATCATTCACCATGTTCAGATGCATTCCATGTGGTTTTTAGAATTACCTAGTGATGCTACAGAAGTTGAGGCGAGGCTGTAGAGACACCAGTGATCTAACTGTTTTCCATTTGTCACCATTAGTTTACAGAGGAACATATCTTAAAATTAAAATCTTCTTCCATGGATTAACTTCACCAGTGGAAAAAAAATTCCTTATTAAGCGAAATGTCTACACGGTCAGTAGATGAGTTATCGTCTTCAGTAGCGAACATATTAAACTAACTATACAACATTTCTTCACCGAAAAAGGATGTTTATATTTACATATGCATGTACCTTCTGTGTTTCACAGGTGGAATGCTCGTCAACCACTAACATGGTCTGGGATCGATTCCTGGACGATGGACTTCTACACCTCCTCTATTCTCTAGTGAACCCAGGAATGAGCGTTGGCTGGCTGTGAGTCTATGCATCCTGATTCCCCACGGAAAACTTCTAAGCTAGGAGCTTGGAGCTGTATATTACATGGGGAAAGCAAACGAATGAATGGATAAGGACGAGTGCGTCGTCCTATCACTTTGCACCTGAACTATTTGTTTTGAGGAAACACAAGAAAGAATTTCTACAGAGACTTGTTAGAAATGGTCAACAAATCGAGATTATATGAATCTTAGGCCTTAGGCAGGCGATAATCTTGGGTAGGTCTACTAACTAAAATGTCTCCTGAATACTCTACTGCTTTGAAAACAGAATCGTAGATAATACTAATATCAGATGCATTGTAAGTGGTACGAAGGTATAACAACTTGTTTAATATACACTTTCACGGCTGTGTGCAGATGAAGAGCCCCTCGTCGAGACGAAACACTTATTCTCTAGTAGTTCTTTAACGGGTGCTGATTACTGACAGACTTTAAATAAAGATGAAGTGTCTTCTTTCCACTAAACTTTAGAGGTGGAGAATACCATTTGATATTCCCTTCTCTCATGTTAGACGCAGTTGGTGATCAAAGGCAGGATGTCGATTATGGAACTTCTCACTATAAGTCGTCAGACAAGCAAACAGTCGGAAACTTGAAGGTGAGTTGAACACAAATTAGAAAGATAAAACACGTATTCCTATCGATCCTTAACAAAGGTGTACTTGCTTGATAAGTGACCCCAGGTTTTTAATTTCCTTATGAAGTATAGTCTAGTATCTAGTAATACTTTTGAAATAGACTCAGCAAAGTTTGACATACGACTTACCCCCTGTCAAATGTAAGATGATGCTCTACAAGTGGTCTGCTGCGATTATTAATTTGAAGATTGTCAGTGAAATGGTCTAGTACACTGACCATTCCATTTATTCAGGAAGTTGCATCAGCCCCCCAGAAAATATCAGCACGGATACAAAAGGTTGATGTGGCTAAATTGAGTCATCTTAGGTGCAGGCGCGACATTGAGCTATCAATTAAAGGACGTGTGCTCTAAGCAGCAGTTCGTTTTTTCTTCTTTACATTTGTAAGACTTAGCCTTTGAAAGTCGAGGACATGAAGAGACAATCTGTCTCTCCCTACAGACGTTCTTCCTGTCTTCTCTGCCATATTGAATGGTATAATATGGTGAGTAATACTGAGTTAAAGAGTAGGATGTTGGATAAGGAGGGGAAGTCAATGTATGATATAGTGAGGCTTTTTCTTCCACGACGGCTTGGACATGTGGCAACTGCTCCGAGTCATCTCCTCCCCCGTTTCGTAATCCTCGCTGATATGGGATTTGAGTGTAAAAGAATTAAGCCACGTCAAGCCGAACACATGATATCAGTCCGTGAAGTCTTTGACTACTAAGGTTTTTAGAAGTACATATAGGGGTGTAGACTTCCTAGTTAGAGTTGTTGAGACACTGAGAAATAGTGGTTGTTGGCTGCTGGCTGCTGCCGATAAAGCTCACAATCATTCTCAGTAGCTCACTCAGGTGTATTCACGCTTTACGAACTACCAAACTAATCAAATTCTCATTACATTCTCCACATAAGTAATCTCTTCCACTTATTATGATTTCATCGCATGTCAATTTCTCTACATCTATGTGTGCATTTTATGAGGCCGAGTTCTTTGAACTGATGCAATTTTCGTGCAGCCAATATCATAATAATAGAGAATGTAAAGCCAATATATCTATCTAAACCCTTCGAACATGCGAAAAATGACGTCACATCCCACTGTATTTACCAATTTGAATGTATGTGTGTCCACACATACATAGGGAGGACTCATCGATCTCTGCAAGTAAGGGTTTCAGAGCATATTCCTAAACGGCTCCAGAAACAAATGGAATCTTCAGGACCTATTAACGGTGAGAACAGGAGACCTAGCTCTTCTATCGTGAAACATATTATAGAGACAGGACATAAAATTGACGTTAACAGATCTTTTGAGCCGATCTATAACACGTGTATCCCAAAGTTTGTGGAAGCCCTAGCTAGCAATTAGAAAGTTTAAGCCACCTTTATGCGTTCAAAAACAATTCGTCATAACATTAAACCCTCCTTGGTAAATTTTGTTTTGATACCATAGCAGATGTACTATTACCTCTGCTATTTCGTTTAGTGGTCTTCATTGTTACTTTGACCTTGAATATGTCCTTTTAACTTGACCTAAGTGGTTTATTTTCTCACCTCTTACCTCTTTATTAATTTCATATATATTTCTATGACAAGTCCGTGTGTACTGGATCAGATTGTTCGAAATGTGTTACGCAAATACATTACACGATTCAGACAAATTACGTCTTCTTATTGCTTTATCTAAATCACTATGTGAAAAATTCAGTCCAGTTCAGCAGTCAGTTATTCATTTCGTGTTTTTCTGTGTTGCAATCAATCAAATATAGCCATAAGAAGACGAAAAGTGTACAGTACTCAATATTCAAACTATCCATTTTCATTAATATATATATATACATTTATAAACCTTGGTTGTTAGATTATGTCATACGCCGACATCATTTAGAGAGATCATTGAAATCTAGGGAGTAGTGGACACCTGTTTCGTCCCATTTTTAAAACTCTTCATCTGTTCTAATCCATGACCCCACCAGGGGTCGAACACAGGACCTTCAAGCTCACTAACCATTCAACCACTTGGACTGGAACTCAGTAACCCGTGAATTCTAGTGTTGTCAACTCATGATACTTGCACTATTCTCAACCAGTGCCTTCTATAAGCATCCACTTCACCTTGATATGGTGGAATCCCCCGGGTCACAACTTCTCACTACAGCTGTGGGACATCAGTGACCTGGCGACTGATATTTAGATTACGGGGTTTGTGGGGATTCCACGAAATCTAACAATAGAAGTTAATCCAAATATCCACAAAGCCTATAATCTAAATATATATTAACGTCAATAAAAAGCATCACATCGTTTAAACAAGTAAAAGAAGATATTGTTGAGGACAAAAGCGTGTAATATAGATATTCAAGTCATGCGAAAAAGTTGATAAAACATCTTTAGAACAACCGAAGATAACATATAATATCATTACAGTGTTTCTTTAAGCACGTAACACACACAATCACATAGAACCAACTACCTAGAAATAATTCAAACCATAATTGACCGCCTCCATTCTATTCTAAATATTCTAGTATATTGAGATAAAAGTGTGGCAAGTTTATTTCGCTATAAGTTATATTCTCACTCAAAGATAAATAAATATTAAAACAATAACAAAAAGAATTAATCAATACTATTATTATTGACTTACTCGCTTGAAATGTGGTGCTGAAGTTTATCCAAAATTGTATTTTATTTCTCCACCGTCCTTTAAAACTTTAATATCCCACAGAAACAGCATCTATTGATACATAATAAATTCAGAAATAGGAATTCGATTTCTCCAGTGTTTCCTTCTGTTTTGTTCTGAGGTTTCCTCGTTGTTGCTTTCGTTGTTAACAATCCATTCTCATCACTTCCATCCAGCCTTTTTTCTGAATTGTTAACTTTATAAAGAAAATTTAAATATGCTCACACATCGGCCATATTATTATTCTTACTACTGCTACTACTACAGAGTTAACAGTAAGGGCATGCTAATACTGCTGAATAGGAAGTATATAAGCTATTGATTAACTACATACAGAAGATATTGATTTTTTAAATTTAAAAATAATTCCCTTTAATATTCGATCAATAATGTGTGTTTTAATATATATATGTATAGATAGTGATGTATATCGATATTCGCTAACCAAAAGACAAAGGCATATATATATATATGTTCAGAAATAATCAATAAATGTATATACTATTCTTTGTGTGTACTTGTGACAATTTGAATTTTGAAATTACTCGGTCATGAACTAAGAGTAAGTCAGTATGTGTGTGTGTGTGGATGTATGAACAAACAAGAGTGAGCAAAAGAAGACTAAGAATTTGCTTTCACAATCTTTTTTGTTAAATAATACCAAAATATTGTATGTCCAATTGTCAATACATGTAGTACTCTTGAACGACCAGTTGAACAAAGCGCGTGTTGTTTAAACAATTAAAAATATAAAATCTTTTTTAGAATGTGAAATGAGTTGACCAATAAGATAATGAGTGTTATTAATAGTAATAATAATAATAGTCTTCAAAAATGTGTGTCTATCATTGCTCAGATATGTCCGCGCATGTAGTATGTGTGTGTGTGTTTGTCTCGATGTATAAGGGTGTTTATTTGTGATTACTTATGGATAGAAACGAGTGAGTTATTTCAAGAAAAGGAATGGCAAATAATCGATCGAAAATGACACCTACTTTTGATTTTAAAAGACTGACTAGTGAGCATAGAATTATCCCCATTGAATAAAAAGACTTGGGCACTGTGGTGGTAGAGTATAACTCCATTATAGATAAGACTTTATTTTGATAAATCACACAGTGTTATCAGGTAATATTAACTGATGATCACATTTCGAGCACAAACTATTGCTGCACATAATCATATCAAGTTAATCACACAACTTTTTTCTTTCATTCATATACATGTGTGGAATCGATTAGATATTTGAATAAAAATCGATATGGGATAATGTACATTCAGAAATAATAATATCAGTGTTATTGATCAATTACAATCAGATGGGAAATAAAACGAGTGTTTTGTAGTCAAAATAGGTAACTTGTTAGAATGTTGTGATTTGCTTGAATTGAAAGAGAATTTTAAAAATATTTATTACCCACCTCTGATTTGACTGGCGGTAATAATATCTTCCATGCATATCTCTGGTATTTGCATTGAGTCATTTCTGTTGCATGTGTTGGATGTAGACTCAATGAACCAGGATTCAGTAATCAATCTCTCTCGCTCTCCACCTACCTATATTACTTCTTAGAATTTTAACCCTCTCCCACCCTATTATGTGGTTGTGTGTTAATGCATGTAGTGCAATTGCTTAGCTTTTTTCTAAATTACTTATCTTCTCGGAGTCTTCTTGTGTTCCGACAATCTTATTATCCCCGACTTAGTTTGACCTATGTAGTTGACTTAACTCACAGTCATTGCAATTTATTTTGTAAATTATATTATTTTGTTTGATTAGGTCTAGCGGGTCTTTTAGCGAACAAAGCTTGTCTCTGAGTGAGTTTGTAGGTTTGAATGCCACCCTAATTCCTGTTTTATTAAGAATCCTACGTAGGGTCTCAGATGTCCCCTCCTTATATGGTAAAACTACTGTAGATGTCTTATATTCTCTCTTATTTATGTTATCATTGCTAGTTTCACAATTAATTTTATTTTGCTTTTGGTCTTTTCTGATCTTCCTAATGAATTTCATAGGATACTTATTTGATACCAACGCTTCTCCTCTCTGTTTTATTTCATCATTTAGGTCAAAGTCATCCACAGAATACGCAGGAATGTTTGCTAAACCTGTACCAATCAAATTTCTTCAAACCATAGAAGCAATAGCGATTCACTTGTTAATTCTCGAACTTTGCATACAGAAGCAGTTTGCTCAGTCATTCAGCCTACAATGGACCCGATCCGTCTGAACACCTGATACTTAATTAATTGTATTCAATTGTATTATTTTTCTTCCCACACCCAACACCTTTGTTCCATTTCTACTCCTTGTTATCACTGTTCTTAAATTGACTCTCGATCAGTTTCAGTTGAATTCTACTCAATCGCATCGATTATAGTACGTCACTCATTTCACTTATTTAATTTTATTGCAGGACCAAGGGACAGTGAAAAAGCTGGACACTTTATTGCCTTATTCAGTCAAGCTTGCTTCAGTGAAGACAGGCATAGAATATTCTTTTCGACAACTTCCTCTTCATCACGCTCTACAGTAGCCGCATCATTCTGGAGAGAATCAAACAAGCCGTGGATGAAAAACTTCGACCGGAACAAGCTGGATTCAGGAGAAACAAGTCATGTGTTGATCAAATCGCCACACTAGGGATCACCATTGAACAAAGCTTGGAATGGCAGTCACCTCTCTATCTCAACTTCATCGACTTTGAAAAGGCCTTCGACAGGGTCGGTCGAGAGGTGATTTTGCAACTACTTCGCTACTATGGGGTGCCACTGACAATTATACATCTTATCCAACGGCTGTGCGACAATGCTGCATGCCAAGTATTCCACAATGGGAAACTTACCGAATCCTTCGAAGTGAGGACAGGAGTAAGACAAGACTGCCTACTATCGCCAATCATTTTCCTGATTGCAGTAGATTGGATAATGCGACAGACAGCGGGCAGTCAGGAGACAGGCATAAAATGGACCCACACAAAAAACTTAGAGGATCTGGACTTCGCCGATGATATATGTCTGATTTCCCACAAACTGGAAGATATGCAAGCGAAAAGCAACAAGTTGGCAGAAGAAGCATCAAAGATAGGAGGGAATTCAGGTGAACATAGAGAAAACAGAGGTGATGAAGATTCCTGAGCAACACCACCAATAGATAACAATCAGCATAAATGGGAGGAACCTGAAAGAAACAACCTCCTTTACCTACCTTCCTCGGAAGCATCGTTTCAACTACAGGCGGAAGGAACTCATGGGGATATCAAAGCAGCGAGGATCGGGAAAACAAGACAAGCTTTCATTACTCTCAAGTCTGTGCGGAGGTCGACAGCATTCACCATCAAAAATAAGATCCGGATTTTCAACTCCAATGTGAAGTCAGTGCTACTATACCGATCAGACACTTGTACGGCGCGTCATAAAGAGCATCTCAAACAAACTACAGAGCTTCATTAACAGCTGCCTTCGCTCAATACTCAAGATCAGATGGCCGGCCATAAAGGATCAGCAACAGGAACATCTGGGAGCGAACCAACCCAGCGGGAACCGATTGTACAACAAATAAGCAGGAAGAAATGGAGGTGGATTGGCCATACTCTGAGAAAACAAACCATCAAGTGACATCACTAGACAAGCCATTGCTCGAGTGGAACCCGAATGGGAAGTGGCGAGTTGGTTGTCAGTGCGAGGGTGACATGGAGGAGGTCATGTGAAGAGGAGATGAAAGCATGTGGGCAGACTTGGAGCCAGATGAAAACTTTAGCAGATAACCGAATGCAATGGAGACGCACGGCTGAAGCCCTATGTTCGTTTAGGAATTAAAGGAAATAATAATATAATAATAATATTAATAATACGCTCTACAGTTATACGTCCATAATAATTAAAGAATTCAAGTATTTTTGATTGGACACTAGTCAGTAACTAGTGTAATATGTGTGTGTGTGTGTGCGTCCAGTCCTATCTTTGGTGCAGACTGAATTCTATCAGTCAAGTTTGCAATGTGGCCATCCTGCTAGGCGGCTCGCCATCACAGTGCACTGTGAATTGTTGGTATTAGATGGTTGGAGGCAATCAGCAGAAAGCCTTGCTGTCAGTAACTAGTTACAGTCCTACATGAGGTCATTTGTAAACCTGGATAGCTCAGTGGTAACGTCTCTGACTGCTGCACTGCACCAGGTGACACGGGTTGGAATCTCATAAGGGACATGAGTTCCCTCAAGGTTGTAGATACGCCTTGTTGACTCAAGAGTGCCAACCAGCACGAAATCTAGGTCCAGGGCTTCCTGCCCACTGCCTGCAACCATCTAATACAAACAAAGAATTCAAGTGTTGGTTTGCAGGGATTTGACTGGTTTCAGGATTTCAGTATGAGTTGACATCAGTTAGAGAACCATTGGAAAACCTGCTGGGAGTACTGGAAAGCTAATGATGAAATCAAGAAACCACTTGAAGAATTAATATTGTTGACAACATTCATGCTGTGTTTTCTTTTAATAACATGGAATCAATAATATTGATAGATTACAGTCCAACAGCATCTGTAAGTTATAATATTCATCAAAAGGAACACTGAACTGAATATCTCTAACCAGTGTCAGCTCATGATGAAATCCTGTAACCAAACTGAATATCAGATAAATTGAGAAAAATAATCCGGAGTCTATGAATTTATACATTTAAACAGAAGTTCAGGGTAGCAACACTGGATGGATGTCTTTCTTCTGCATACAGAGCTATGAACGTTCGTTCAGAGTCGTGTTAGCTTTTATCAAATGACCTCCTCTATGTCACGCTCAGACGCCCAGCCTATTGCCTTCCACTGGAGTTCCATTCAAGGTTTTACCTGGCATGTGATGCCATTTGAAAATATCATCAGCTTATATCCAATCCATCTTTATTTGCTTCTGCATATTTGATAGGCTAGTCATAATTTTTTGGCTAGTTCTCTAAACTTCCAGAATTTCTCCTTCCTTATCCGAACTGTCAATAGCCAGCCAGCGAAGACAGGTGTTGGTAACAGTCTGTAACGTGTTCGTTATGCTTTCTCTGGGTCACATGCCAAGTCTCTGAACCAATATAGAAGTAGTGAATTAACATTAGCACTGAAGATTTAGATCTTGTAGCTTAAACTGGTTGTAACCGATAGATGGTAGGAAAAGATCGTTCAATGTTAGCT